CTTTTTTACAAGAGATTCATCTAAATTAATTTATAAAATATAAAAAAATGATTAAGAAAATGAGAGAATAAGAAAGATAATGTAATGAAGCGAAATTACACATTCGTGGATCAGTACGAATTAATAATTGAATTATATCTGGACCAAGATAATCATCAAGTGATATTGTTAAACGTGTTAATTGCACTGTTGCATCAAGAAATATTAAATCAGGATGCTCATAAAATGAATCAAACATTGTAAATTCTTTATTTCTAAAAATAAATTACAATTTCATTTGATTTCCGAGAGGACGGAAGTCAATAAAATATGTCTTCTTCAACGATGATCAAAAATATCTCAATGAAAATCGTTCGCTTCTGAACTTTGAATTTGAGATAGAGTTCAGTACATGATTATATATACAACTAGGCTCATAAAGAGCATCTCGATAAGAAACTTAAATGTAATTGAATTTTTTCTCCATAGAATAAAAATAAGAATTGATTTTCTTTACAAGTGTCCTATTAAATTTCTCGTTTGATTTGATAATTTCTTAAAAATCTTAATTGAGTTATGTCCCTTAGTGAGATAGAATAGTCGATTTTCTTAAAAATTTATGTAATAAGTAAAAAGAGAACATACGTATCCGATCCAAATAATTGTTGAGCAAAATTAAGCATATTCCATATATAAAGTTTATCCAAATCTGGTAATAAAGCTAAAGAAAGAAAAGAAAGAGAATAAATAAAATAAAATAAAATAAAATTTCTTTTTACTTGAAGTCATTAAAACTCGTGCTGGAATTTTCAGCATATGACAACTTTTATATGCTTCAATTGTTTTTCTTGTTCCATTTTTACATAATAATTCAAAATCAATTGCTCGTAATGGTCGAGCCCATTGATCAACATTTCGTCCATCTGTATTTGATATAACTGCTGTATGCATTACAAATGCAACTTGACTACCAGTTCCTTTTTATTTGTCAAATTAAAATATATTTAAGAAAATAAAAATAAATAAATAATTTATTTTTACCTTCAGTTAAACAACGAAATGCTCCTGAACTTCCATGAAACATTTCTCTTTGTGAACGTGAACAATAATCTGAACCTTTTGAATAACATTTTAAACATAATGCACGTGGATTTGTTTTTAATCTATTATAATCATAATCAAGAGCACCTGGTACACAACTTTGACCAAAATATTCTCCTAGAAGAAAATAAAAATAAAATATTATATATAATTTATAATAATTGAATTCTAACCAGCAACTTTATTAACATGACAATTTGTAACATATAATTCTTTAATAGCAGTTAAATAATCAACAGGAACATGCCAACCAGCAAGATCACCCATAGCTGTTGAACAAATATGTTTTCCACGTAAATTCCATAAATTTGTTGTTAAATCTGTTCGTTTAGCAACAGCAACAGCATACATAACATTTGATTCCATATCAACACCATAATCTTCAGCAGCTAATGGTATTAATTGATAATAACGTTGAGCACGATAAGCATCAGCTGGATCAAGTGTTATTATATCAGCAATACCTTGACGAATTTTCGACATACATTCCATTGCATTTTTAGCTGAAATACAATCAACATCTGGTTTAATATTTTTACGTGCAAATGCATTTTTCATTAAACGACATTTTTCTTTTTCATACATTGATAATACACACCAACGTAATACACGTAATGGACATTCATATAAACGAGATAACATTGCTAAATATTCACTTCCTAAAATAAAACAAATTAAATTGACATTTTGTTTAAATAGAAATATAATTTTTATTAAAAATTCTAGATTCTCTCTGTACACTCAACTACAAGTTTAAATAATATTTGTTTGATTTATCGAATACACTACGTCATATTGTAAACGTGATGAAAGTTAAGGACAAAATATGATTGTAAGAGGATAATTGTTAATAGAAAAAAAATCGATTAGTAACAGATGTAAAATGAAATGAGAAAATATTTTATTTATCTTACCAAGATAATTACTATATGATGTTCTATCATCAAGTATATTGAAATCAATAGCTGCATCAGAAAAAAGTAAATCATTTCCTTGAAAACGTTGAGAATTAAATAATTGAAATTGTGGATTTTGTAAAGAAAAAAATCTTGCAGAATCAGTTAAAACTCGACGATAAATATCACGTAATTGTTTTGGACGACGATGTGATACAACAATTGCTGATGCAGGTGCAACTCCCTTTTAAATTTTAAATAAATATAAAAATAATTCTTTAATTTAACTTACCCAATTACATTGTTGAAATTGTTGCCATGGTACACGTTGTCCATTTGTACATAATAATTGAAATTGATCAATAGGAAATGTTGGATCTCGTGTTTGTAATTCAATTAAAGCGGTATGTCTTACAAAAGCAATATCACCACGATTATATAAACACATTAAAGCACCAATATTTCCAGCATATGGATCTTGATTTGTACAAAATGTATTTCCATTTGTACCTTGACAAAGATCACAAACAGTTGATGGATTATCACCTGTTGGATTAAATTGTCTATTTAATGCATCTGGTGCACACATTGAACCAAATAATAATGCTGCTGATTTAACATGATTATTACAATCAATTATATTTAAACGACGATCACGTAATAATTGAGATATGGGTTGATTCCATCCCGATGATGAACCAACTGATGAATGACATGAACGAGCACCTTGTAAATTATTTAAATTTATTCCTGAATTGGCACGAACAACAGCAACTGAATAATATGTATTTGCTGATGGACCTAAATTAATTTGTTTTTTTTGAAATAAAAATTTCCTTTTCTTTTCTTTTGTTTTTCTTACTATTAAAAACAGGTGAATAAAGTTCATTAGCAATTGGTACAAGATTATAATATCTTCCAGCTGTATAAATTTCACCTGAATCAGCTGTCATTAAATCAGCTTCATCATTAAATATTTTACGATAACAATCAAATTTATCTAAACCGGCAACACAAGAAAGTGTTGAACGAGTTATATTTGAAGTTAATAAGGCACTTGACCATGCTGAACATTTCGCATATTCACGTTCATTTACACAACACCAACGAACTAAATTATTAAATTAAAAAAATATTTAAATATCTATTATATTCATTGAAAGTTTAATAAAAAAGAAATTTTATTATAAATGATTTTGAGTGGCATCTACTGAAAACGAAACATAACCTTTGATAAGAAAGGTAGAATGATAATAAAAAAGTTAAGTATTTTAATTATAATATTTCTTATTTATATAATACTATGAAAAACACTTCGGTGAACTGAAGTTCTTGAACTCCTTGTTTCACCCTTTGATATTTTTGCTAATGTATTTTAGTTTGTATCCAAGCGTTTCTCTTATTAAAAAACTTTTTTTTAGTTTGACGTTCAAAATGACTGAATTTTTAGTAAAAACTCATAGTTATATTTTCTTGAGTTGAGTACGTGAGTTACGTATAGCTCATGCAAACATTCAAGCGCTTACCTCGTGTAAAAAAGTCATGCGCTATGGACGCATCTTGAGGTCTGTATAGGTCAAGTATAAAAAAAAGTTCAAGTAGCGAATTCTGATAATATTTTATTAATTTAATAAATAGTGTTACTTTATGTAAACATATTGATAATATTAAAAATATTCTTTTCAATATTTCTTATATAAATGTATTGAAAATCTTACTGTTCGTAATAATATTATTTGGATTTCCATCTGTATTATAAATACTAAATGGAATGATTGTTTGATCATAAACACTAAATTGAGCTGCTGCTAAACTAATTGAAATAATAAAGAAAACCCAAGACCAACCCATAAAATCTTTTTTCCTTCACTCAATTTAATGTGACATAAAAACGAAAAAAGAAAAAGAAAAAAAAAGACCAAAGGAAGGTCATCACTCATTAAATTTACCAATGAAAAAATCATTCGAAAATTTTATAGATGTCACTTGAATTTTTTAAATAAAATTTCTATTTTTTAAAATTTTCTTTATTTAAATCAAAGATTTTTTTATAGAAAATAAAATATTTTCCTAAAAAAAAGAACAAAAATAATCAAAGTAAATAATATCTGGACGTGGATGAAAAAAAAATCGATTGAGAATTAAGTAATACACGAAAATATCAAAAAAAAGGATGTTAGCAACATGTAGTACTATTTTACAATTATGGAATAGTCAAGATTATTCACTTATTAATGAATTTGGTCATGATCATGTACCATCAACTGATATTATTAAATCAGTTGATTGGAAAAAAGATAATTGTATGAATATATTATTAGAATATTTTCATTAAATTTTGTTATTTTTAGCAAATTATCTTGTTTTTACATATAAACAAACAGGACGTGTACAATTATATGATATACAAAAAAATAAATCTGTTGAACTTTCAACAGTAAGAATTAAATACTCAGAAATATTTTCATTTGTTTTTGTTTTTCTATTAGACAAAAGCTCAATGGTGTTCATTTAGTACATCAGGAAAATATTTAGGAATAACAAATGAAGATTGTCAAGCACAAATTTGGGATGTTAATTCAGGAAGAATTGCACAAACATTTAATGTAAATTTTGGAGAAAATAAGAAATCTAAATCTAAATTTATATATATTTGTAGAGTGTTGATCAATCTCCAATGGAAAGTATATGTTGGGGTAATGGTGATTCATATATTGCTTGTGGTACGCGAAAAGGAAATGTATTTCTTTATAATCAATTAACAAAACAAACATTTGCTGCATTTACAATGAAACATGGAAATAAAGTATTTTATTTATTTAAAATAATAATCTTAAATAAATCAAAGTAAATATTTTTAATTTAAGTTAGGTCCGATATCATCAATAAAATGGTCACCACATAAAGAATTAATTGCAACAACATCAAATGATGGTTTACTTTCATTATGGAATTATCGTTTAAAAGAATTAATTATATCAATACATTCACATAAAGCTCCAGCAACTGATTTAGCTTTTTCTCCACATCATGATGCATTTCTTGTTACAGCAGGAATGGATGGATCATTATGTTGTTTCGATGTTGTACAACAAAAGTAAGATTTCTTTCTCTTTCTCTTTCTCTTTCTTTTCTTTATATTTAATCGATTTTAAAAACTAGAATATTATCAACAATAAGTATCTATGCCCCATTAACAAGTGTAGATTTTCATCCAAATGGTTCATTAGTTGCTGTTGGAACAATGGGTCAAAGTGCATCTGTTTATGATTTACGTGATCCAAAAACGAAATTAGCACATTTAGTTAATTCTGAACATGGAAATGTTTATTCAGTTAGATTTGAAACGGCACAATCAGCACCAACAACACCAACAACAACGACACCAACACCAACATCAACTTTACAAAGGCCAACAACACTTTCACAAGAGGTTTTTATTATTTTTTAATTGAGAAATTAAATAAAATAAAATAAATAAAATATTTGTATAGACAAATAAAGGAATGAGTACATTTGCTCAACAAACAACACGTTCTCGTCATACATCATCATCATCAGTCCAATCTACAACAACACCTGTTGATAATTCATCATCATCAACAACAATAAATCGTACATTTGGAACACAACCTCGAACAACACAATCACGTGAACGAACTGTTTCAGCACTTTCATCAGCAACATTATCAAATAAATCTAATACACCTATACTTACATCGAATAATTCAACAACAATTGATGCAAGTATGTTTTCAAATCTCGTGATCTAGAAAAGGTTTTTTTCTTCTATTAAATCAATAAAATTTAATTTTTATTTAGGTTCATTATCTCCACGACAACGTAAGTTTAGTTTTAATTTTATTAACTAAATAAATTTTATTTTGAATATTTTCAGAACGTAATGATCGTCCAGAACAGACAGTAAGTATTGATGATATTATCAATATTAAAATTAAAGAAAGATACATATTTTTAGCCCAATTCAAGTATTAGTAATAATGATTGTATGAGTTTTGACGATTTTGCTCAATTATGTGGTATTTCATCTCGTGCTCCCATTGAAAATGGTCATAGTATGTTATTTATCGTTTTTATTAATTCTAAAAGAAAAGATTCATTTAAAAAAAATGTTTTTAGATCGAACAAATGTGAATTCGAATGAAACTGATGAATCATTAAAATTAATGTTAGATAATCGAGTTAATTGTTTACGTGAAGATTTTAAAGACGATCTTAATCGAACAAAACTTTCAATGCAAATGAATTTTATTGTTGAATTAGAACGACTTAGAGTAAAAACAAAAAAAAGTTACTTCTATGAAAAATATTTTTATTTTTTAGAATGATTTAATGAAACAAATTGAATCTCATTCATTAAATGCTCAATTAATCGATGAAATCGAACGTCTTAGAACAGAAAATAAACGATTACGTCAGTTACAACCACGACTTTAACCAGACAAACAGACACTTCTATCCCGATTGCGTTGGTGCTACACAATATTTTCTTTTTCTTTCCCTTTTTTCCCTTTCTCTTCTTTTTTTTTGTATATATATTTGATAGAAGAATAAAACTAAACAAATAATCTATTTTCAAATGTAATTGAAACAAAAAAATCTTTTTCTTTTTATTATTATTATTGTAGATATGGATATGGAAACATATGTTCCAGAAGAACATATTATTCAATCAGAAAAAGATGAAAATTTAATCAAACAAGATGATGATGAAGAAGAAGAAGATGAAGAAGTTGAAGAAGTTAACAATTTATCATTAGAAACATTAACTACTTATGATAATTTTTTAAAAGCTGAACCAATACCAAAACGAAAATATCCTCAATCAACAGAATTACCTGAAACAATAACAATTCTTAAAGATAATATAACTAATGGAACTGTTTATCTAGTTGGAACAGCACATTTTAGGTATTTAGTTTTTTTTTATTCATATTGACAAAAGTAAATTATTTATCTTTTCTCTATTTTAAGTGAAAAAAGTCAACGTGAAGTAGCAGAAGTATGTTGAATAATATATTTTTAAATCTAATCTTATATCTATTTTTTTAAAGATAATTCAAATGACTCAACCAGATATTGTTATGGTTGAATTGTGTCAAAGTCGAGTAGGATTTTGTTTTGTTTTATTGAAAGATTTTATTTGTTAAAATAAATATTTTTTAAGGTAAATATCCTTTCATTAGATGAACAAACATTAATGAAAGAAGCATCAGAAATGAATATGCAAAAAATGCGAACGATTATTAAAGCAGTAAGATTCGATTTATTTATTTATTTTTATTAAAATAAATTGAAAATTCATTTTTAGAATGGGGTTATTCATGGAATAATTCATGTACTTTTATTAAGTATGACAGCTCATTTAACAAAACAATTAGGAATGGCACCAGGTGGAGAATTTCGAACGGCTTTTCGTGAAGTTAGAAGATTTAATTTAATTTAATTTAAATAAATAATTTGAATAATATTTAGGCACAAAAAGTTGTTGGTTGTAATGTAGTACTTGGTGATCGTCCTGTTGGTATAACATTAAAACGTGCAATAAATTCCTTATCAACATGGAAAAAAATTCGTTTAGCTTGGTCTTTATTAACATCAAAAGATAAAATAACGTTTGTATATCAATTGTTTCTTATTTCGAAAATAATTTTTGTGTTTTTAGAAATGAAGATGTTGAAAAATGTATGGAACATGATATGCTTGAAAAGCTATTATTAGAAATGAGTGATGAATATCCTGAATTATCTCGTGTTTTTGTTTCTGAACGTGATCAATATCTTTCATATTCTTTAAGAAAATGTGCACAACAAATTCCAATTGAAACAAATCAAACTGGTTTTGTTCCAGCAACAGTTGTTGGTGTTGTTGGAATTGGTCATGTACAAGGAATTATTAAACAATGGAATCAACCACCTATTAATGATGTTCAACATTTAATGAAATTGTAAATTACAAATTACAAATATTTTACTATTACTTTTTTATTTTGAAATTTTTTCATGTTTTTTTAGAACAATTAATGATGAACCAATTCGTCGTTCTTCAGTTTGCAATTATGCATCAGTATCATTTAAAATAGCATGTATTGGAGCTGTTGTTGCGGCTGTTGTGCAATATACTCGTTATCGACTTCGTTAAATTATTTCAATTTTTTTGACATTCATTTTACTTTTCATCATTATTTTTTTCTCAAAAAAATATTAATAAACGAGGACGAAAATATCTTATCTGTCATTCTTAAATCCTCTTTACAGTTCAACACTAGATTTATTATTAAGAAATACATTTCTCATTTAACTATTGATAAATCAATTGGGAAACGAGTTGAAAAATAATTTGATATTTATTTCTTCATTGACTTCTTATATATGTTGACTTAAACTATCAATAGAAAAAAAATAAACAGATGTTATTGTCATATATTATCTATTTATGATGGATATAATGCATCCATTTAAATATTCATATTTTAGTATCTGATCAACTATTACTTCAGTATTTCGTTTGTCAATTCAATAGTGATCGAAAATTGATTATTTTAATATTAGTTGAAGTACGATCAAATAGAATATTCTTTTCTTTTTATCCGACAAGTTTTTACAAGGAGTTAAATAACTACTATCACTACTTTTCATATGCTCAAAGTATATCCTGTTAGATAAACTATAAAAAGAAAATAACTAAAACAAACTCAATTTATGTTCAATTATTCGATATTATGCAATATAAATCAACTAATGCATGAGTGCAGAGCTGTTAAAAGAATCCATATAATGAATGCATCTAACAGCATTTCTTTTAATGGTACTATAGAAAGAAAAAGAGAAGAAGAAGAAAAAAAAGAATACTCCGCGGCGGGGAATCGAACCCCGGTTTCCCGCGTGACAGGCGGGGATACTCACCACTATACTACCGCGGACAGAAATTATTATAGAAACATCAGTACTTTCAATTAAATCTACAGTGCTTTTCGTAACGATTTTGTACGTTAATATCATATTTTTATACAGTCATTTTTGTCATAATTCACTAAAAACGATATATACAAATATGACTGGAAGTAAATGATGTTTTTTCCATCAATCATACTAGCATCTCTCTCTCTCTCTGAATAGGTTTTTTTCTTATTTAAGTTAGAATAAAACGATTGAATCGATTTAGATCGATCTTATTATATTTAACAACGAAGAATGATAATAGAAGATGGATCTTTGTTATATATTAACTTTGAAAAACATTACTATAAATAAATGAGTAACCACCACAAGTTTAGCTTTCATATTCATTTTATTTTGATCATTTCGTCCTACAAAATAATATTTTTTATTTTTATTTTCATGAATTTCTAGATAAATATCTTCGAAGTATAATATTCGTCAGAGACTACATAATATAATAAAGTTAAGATAATTATTTGGTACGAAGAGTTCAATATGAGATGATGCGCACAGATATATAGGTCATGAGACTAAAGTGTAAAAGATTGACATTTATTAATAAGATCTTTAATTAATAATATATTTCATAAATGTCATCTCATTGATTTATAAAACTGAACTGTGAAATATTAGAAAAAGATTTGATTTTTATTCAAGAATATTTATGATAATGATATACTCAATCTCTTTCCCAAATATTTTTATATTGAAATGAAATGAATATTGATGAAAGTATCCTACTGTATAAGAGTAAAGAAGAAAATATGGAATAATGATAAATTTTATTTTGACAATATGAATATTTGTTAAGAGAAGAGAAGAAAAGCAAAATTGAATTAAATTTGATTAATTTCTTCATTAATAGTTTTCTTTTTAATTGCTAACATATGTAATGTCATTGTCGATTGTTGTAATCGACCTGTTTTTTCATTTAATAAATTCCAATGACAAAAAAATATTTTTAATTTATTTCCAATTCTTCGTTGATAAATCGAAGCAAAACGAAACCAAATTAATATTAGTAATAGAATACATGCACATAATAAACTAAATATAATTATTTTTAATGTTGACCAATCAATATCTTCTGTTAGAAAAACACCAACTATTGATGATAAAAATATCCAAAAACAAATTATTGTTAAAACAAATAATGTGGAATATTGACGTGTTAATAAACCAAATTGTAATTTATGTAATATATCAATTAAATAACGTAATAAAATTAAAATAAGTATTGTAAATATTAAAGTTAAAAAAAGCCAAACAAGAAGATTTCGACGTAATGATGCCAATGCTTGAGAACTATTTGAATGAACTTTGGATTCAATATTATCAAGGATTGTTAATGTTGTATTTTTAACTTTAATTATTGATGGATCAATTTGTAAGATGATTTGTTTCACAGCATCATCAACAACTTTAACTATATCAGATATAGTACCACCCATGAAGATTTTGTATTTTATTCAATATTATAACGATACTTCAGGTCAAAGAAAGAAAGATAGAGAATGACCTATCAATACTAGTTCGTCTTTCTCTCTCTCGTATTTCTTTTCCAATTGCCAGTTGTACTCAGCTGACTGATAATCTCAAGAGGCATTCCTCCTCTTTCCAACGAAAAAGAAAAAGAAAGAAGAGAAAGAAAAGGAAATATTTCTTTCTATCGGTCAACATATTTCTGTTCATATCTTTTTCTTTTTCCTATTCTTTAACATATATGTGTTAACTGACAACCTTCATTTACACTTACATACAGATTAATAGTCCTATCAACAATTCTCTGATACAAAAGAAAAGTAATATTCTCTACGAAAAATTCAAAAAAAATTGTTTTTCCTGGAATAATATAAAATAATATTTGATCTCGTCGATAAATACTTTACATTTTTTACTTTGTAGTGGTATTAAAAGATAAAATAGGACAAACAAATTATTTTGTGTATACTTACATTCATTGATAAAATAAACATCTGTATTCAAAGTCTGTTTCTTTCGAAATTAAGACCTAGATACAAAATTTTGTTATGTCAAAAATTCGTTGTAACTATCTATTAGAATTGATTAGGATTAATTTCAAATCGAAAATATTTTATTTTTAATTTATCTGCGAAATTTCTAAACATTGTTTTATTCGAAGAAAACAGATGTATCTTTTACAATATCTTATTTTATATATATAGAAGAATGAGAAAGATCATTTGTCTGTAAATGACATCGATTATCATGGTTAAATGAATGTCATTTGTCAAAAGAAATTGTTTCGAAATGGTTAATGATTAATTTAATGTGAGATATTGTCTTTTTCAATACTTGAAAGATTTCTTCTTATTCAATAAAAAATCTAATTGATCAATTTCTTAAAAGATCTAATTAAATTTAAAAAAAAGAAAAGAAAAATATTTGATTTATACAAAAATATTTTTTCTCAATGCATAATTTAACGAAATTATTCTTTGATATTAACGATAAAATCCTTGATTAATAATCAAAAAAATAACTCTTCAAGGTTTTCTTTCTAACAGATTAGTCAACGTAAGTTTCGAGTATATTCTTTCAATATAAATATTATCTCAATATCTTAACTTACATATTTATAACTCACTTATCATTTTTCTGTTATATAACTGTCAAAACAATAAAAAATTCTATCGAAATAGATTTTCAATGAATAATTCTTTTATCTAAATTTATTAAATTTAATACATATTTAAATATAATTTTGAATAAAAAAAAGGAAAATGTTTGAATAAATGACTATTTATCAATTGGTTTTGAATGTAAAATAATAAGAAGTAAAGTAACAAAGAGAATAATAACACATCGACGTAAACAAACATTTACTGATTTCATTTTTTTACCAGATTGATCAAAAGTAGAATCCTATAGAATAATTATTAATATTTTCTTATTGATTTATTTATTTTAATAACTTACATATTCAGAAGCAGATGAATGCAATAGGAATTGATCGATGTAATACATAGTTTTTCTTTTTTCAACTTGTTCTCTTCACTTCGCTCTCTCTCCCTCTCTCTCTTCTACTATTAAATTTGTTCGGTGACTACCTGCAATTATATATATATATTTATATGTGAATATATATATAAAGTGATCGAGGTGAGAGGACGACTTAGTTACATACTATGAGCACACGTTCGCAAATCAAAAGCAAATTGTAGTAGGTGAAAGGAAAATATATATATAAGGAGTGAATGAAAAAAAAAAGAAGAACGAGAAGAAAATGACTCGACAAAACCTATCGAAGCGATCATTCATCCTAAAACAAAATACAATATGAATATATTTTGCTTTCATTATACATAACATTAGTTTTAACAAAATGCTTTTGATTAGTTTTTTTTTCTTTTAAAAAAAAAGAGAAAAAAGAAGGTTTACAATGACTTTATTTATTTCAAATGCATTTTCATCGTTTTATTCTAAACAATACAAAACATTATTTCTATAGAAAATGTTTTTCGATGTTTTTATATAAATCAGAATGGAATAATCATTCATTCATTTCTATAAATATTAAAAACAAAATAAGAAATAAAATATTAATTCGAAGAATTAGCACGATATTCAAATTATATTCGAACTATTTAATAATTAATAATCTTAATCACAACATTTGAGTAATCACAATACAACCATTTGTTTTAGATAATCAATCGAAATATTTTAATTCTTCATTGTTTATCTGATATATCGTAGGAAAACAGATTAATTTCAAGATTACAATAAAAAACTAACAAGATGTCTATTAAAGTACAATGTTTTTACTTATTGAGAAACAGTTCCATTTTGCAAGGATAGAATGGCGAATTGAGCTATCTCAGCAGTCAATAACAAATAAAGATTAGAAAATTCTTCTCTTACGTATAAAATAAGCATTGACAATGAGATGCATTTCAGATTAAGACTATCTTTCGATTAATGAATGATATTCTTTGAAAAAGTAAGTCAATCATTTAATCTATCCGAGTAATACTATTTTTATCATTACTCTTGCATAGATCGTTGCATGTAATAATGGTCTACATTATTTATACTTTCACGTACATTCTTTGTCTCTTATTAAATACATCTTTAATAGTAGAATGAATGATTATATATGAAAGAATAACGAGAGAAAAAGAACATTAATACTAAGCGAAGGGGTCACGATACATAGAGAAGATCGTATAGAACAAGTGAAGCATAACGGTCATCATTATTACTATAATAGGTATTACCACAATTCACACTATTGAGAGAGAACTAAATATACAATTAAAGAATAATCATTTTCTACAAGTAATAGACAAGTCAAGCATACAAGAAAAATGTTTCCGATTAAGTTTGTTATAATAATGTAGACTTATTCCTAATTGAGACTCTTACATATGACCATTATCACAAATGTTACTTTGAATTTTTATCAATATTTTTGATTTAATGAATCTGTCACAAAAATATATTTAAAACATTTTATTTCGAGACTGTTCGAATTGTTTTGATAACATAAATATGCATATTTCGTATCGAAGTTCTAATCTCAACAAATTTAACTATCAACGAAATTGGAATTACTGCAAGATAGATCATCGACATTCTTTTCAGGAAAGTGAATCTATAGTATTTACACGTTGTAATCTTCATATATGCTTGACTTTTTCCTTAATTTCTCTCAATATCATCTTATTATACGTATTACATTGTTCGATATTTATCGTAACCTCTGTCTCTCGATAACCCTCAAGATACTATCCAAAAATATGTGATTCACTATCGTATATATAATTTATAATTTTTGCTGAATAAAACATATTTTCTGTTCATTTACTATTAACCACTAACACTCGATCAGTACCATTGCTATATCAACATCGCTATCCTTTGTGACAAGTGCAAGTGAGAATAATCGATGGGAAACTCAAGAACGATAGACTATATACATTGAAACGTTATCAACACAGTGTTGAGATAATCATGGATACGACATTGAAGTAATATTCTGAAAGAAGCTCGAAGTAAATATCACTACTGAAAAAGTATATATATGAAGGGTACAATCTGTGAGTGTTATAGTTTTAATCTCTCGAAAAGAACATCGATGATCTATCCTGTCGAAGTTGTAACTTGAATACGATATAAATAAAAGCTAATTCTATCATAGTCACTTTTTTGTTTTTAGAAATAATATTTTTTTATCATTATCAAACTAAAAATCTCTTGATGAATGTTTATTTTTATTGAGAATTTCTAGGTCAATCTTTTTCTATTGGGGTTAAAAATAATAATAAATAATTTGTTGAATAGTCTGAATAATAAAATTATATAATAATGTATTGTCTTTCTAATTTAATAAATAATGAGAAGAAAATTATTTTAAATCTCGACATATACACAAAGAATATAATAGTATATGACATAAATCAATTAGAAAATAAATAGAACAATAATAATCAATTTTTAAAATAATACATTGTGTAAGATCGAATAGAATTTATTAAAATTCTTCGAATTAAAGGGCTAGATTGTAGAAATAATCAATTGAAATGTAAATATTTATATGAAAATTATTCTTTTGTATTTTATATTTCAATAAAAGTAATATACTTAAAAAACTATATCATTACGCTCTTTTGCACATGAAATAAAAATTAGATATGGAATATTTTATTTCTACATTATTATTCAGTTATATTTCTAGTCCTTGTAACCTTAAGAGTATTGTTTACTATAATGAATCACATGTTGTTTCGAGGTTACTTTATATATTAGAAAAGGTAAAATATATTATTTTTTGTTACATTTTTATGGGTTTATTTTGTTTATCTACGATAATAAATGTAAGAACGAAGAACAACAACGTCATGAAAACGATACGTTTCTTTTTCATCTCTTTCTTTTTCAAAAGAAACTAAAAAAGCTAGTACATTTTGTATATAAAAGAAAAGGGAGAGGGAGAGAGAGAGAATATAGCTCCCTCTTTTAGAATATTTTCCTATTTATTTATTATAAAAATAATCTTAGTACAATGTTATATGAGACTGTAATAATGTTTGAATTTCCATGTAAGAGAAACAAAGTATAGTTTATCAAGATTGTTCATGATTAAATAAAATAAGAATGTATGTAAGTTAAGTGTAGATAATGATTGCTACATAAAATTCACCAATAGAATGAATGTCTTAAGGAGTAATGGATAATATAAATATAAGTTGTGTTGTGTACTTATTCAACTCGTATTATTCTTCTAGATAGAATTTCTTTTTGTTATTGTTATCATGGAAGACGAAATTATTGAAATAGCTGATGATCAAAAACAATTTCGATCAAGATTTATCAAACAAATAGCAAAAGAAAATCCAAAACATGCAAATCATTTACGAAAAATCTTTCATATATCAACAAATGGAAATCGTCAAGCTCGTTGTGATGTTTATCAAAAAATCTTAGATGAATATCCATTTGGAAGTGTTGAACGAGAAAAATTATTGGATTATTATGCTAAAATTATGGATTTAGAACGTCGTGTACGAAAATTTGTTAATGCAAAAATTTATAATGAAAAAATTGAAAATGAAAATAGTACAGCAACAGCTGATCGATTTGATTATGTTTTTTCTCGATTGGATCAAGCTAATGTTGAACCTGAAATAGTTAAAGAATTTTTTAATTCAAATGCATTAGCTATATTTAGTTTAACAATGCATCCAACAAATCCAACATCATTACAATATACAACTAAAGGTGGATTACCATTTGATAAACATTTAGATGATGAAGACAAAGAATTTCATGGACTTTTAAAAATACTTCAAGATTTAGAATTAGCTGGAAGAAAAAAAACAGTTGAAGAAGAAGTTGAAGAAACAATTGCTATTCTCGATATTATTTATGATACATCACCAAAAGTACGAGATCAATTAATTGAATCATTAAAAGATTATCCATCATATTCAAATGTGATTGATGTTAATAGACCACTTATTCAACCATCAATATGGGCAGCTGGAGATGGAGATGGAAATGAAAATGCTGATATAAAAGCATTAGAACAAGCTGTTAAACAATTAAAACAACGTATTAAACAATTATATTTAAATGATATTGAAAAATTATCTTCAGATAAAACAAAATCTATTGAAGAAAAATTAAAAAATAATTCCTATAAAAATGCAGATGAATTAATTGATGATTTAAAAGATATTCCAAATGCAAAAGATCTGATTTATAAAATCAAAACATTCGGTTTTCATTATGCACAAATTGATATTCGTCATAATGCTATTGATATTATGGAAACATTTTCTCATTTAATTAAAGTTAATAATTTAAATGATGATTTCTTATCATTATCATTAGAAGAACAAAAAAAATTGATCAATCAATGGATAAATGATGATGAAATTATTAAAAAATTAATGACAACTGATCAAGATATTTTAACAAAAAGTAGTAAAACAGCTGGAAGAGTATTTGGTCGATTAAAATTAATTAAAAATAATCTTGATACATTTAATAAATTAATTATTGCTGAAACCCATTCAATTATAAATGTTTTAGCTTCATTTTTATTATTAAAAGCAAGTGGAAATTGTGTTGCTGAACAAGGTACAATTATTGATATTGTTACATTAAGTGAATCAGTTAAAGATTTACAAGAATTACCAAATTTAATAAATGAATTAATTGATGATCCAATCTATCGAAAACATTTATCTTATCGTCAAAAATTAATTCCAATGATTGCTAAAAGTGATACAATACGAAGAAATGGTCGTGGTGCTGAATCTTCACAAGAAGAAGCATTAGGAAAAGTTTATGCAATGTCTGAACAATTTAGAAAAAAATATCCCGAATTAAAAAATGTAACAGTTAATGGTTATAGTGGTGGTGGTGCAGCATTACAACGTGGTGGTGGTCGTGTTACAGAAGTTCCACATAATAATGGTCGTGCTGCACGATATTTTGGTGCAAAAACAATTGGACCATCATTATTAACAATTCAAGGTCATCAAATGCAAATATTATTTTCTCCAATATCAATATGTTTACATACATTAGAATCATTAGTTGCACAAAATCTTCATGCACGTGCACAAACAGAATTAAAACCAAATGGTGAACATTATGTTTTACCACGTCGAGCACCACAAGGTCATGATGAAAGAAAAAATATTGCTCATTTTCATAAAGCATGTCAAGTTATGCGTGATACTTATTATAGTTTTATGGGAGAATTAGATGATGATACTGATAAAGATTCAGGAAATCATAATTTTAATCAATTATTTTCCAATGCACCGTGGGTTTCAGTTGTTCTAGGGAATTTAAGTTCACGTCCATCAAAACGTGGTGGTGGTCAAGGTACAGATTCAGACAAGATTACAGTTCGAAGTTTACGTGGTGATAATCCAAAATTACTTAATAATCGTGCTATTACAGTTGAAAGAATATCGGCACATAGTGGAACACATTTTCTAACTTATTTAAGTGTTTATGAAGGTTTAAAAAGTATTAATTATGATGATCTTCATGAAATGTATCTTTGTGGTAAATCATGTCGTGATTTTATGCGTAATACAGCTTTATCATTACATATGACTGATTTTGATTTTGCATGGCAAACAATGATTGGTCAACCACGTCCAAATAAAGATCAAATTGCATTATTAGCGAAAAATTTTCATCGAGAAAAAAATGCAAAAAATACAAATGAAGAAATTTTAGCATGGCTTGAAATATATGCAAATGATGTTGCTAAATTAGTTCATAAATGTATTTTAAACAAAGATCCAGCTGATGATTTTAATTTACAAACACCATTAAAATGTGGATTTTCAAATTTAGCACAACAATTAACATTAAGAGAAGAATCAGATGAATTTGGAAGATATGCTGAAGCGGATATGACTAATTTTATGAATCATAATTTAGATTATATATTAGGTGAACATGAACGTGCAACATTACAATCATGTTATGCTGCTGCTGATGTTGTTAATGCACCTGAAGGCGGTTTAAATATTGAACTTACAAGAACAAAAATTACTTAATTATTCAATTGATTTATTGTTCAATTAGATTAGAATATCATCATTACTTTAACACAAAAATAACCATTATCTTTGTTGTTTGATTTTTTAGGAAAGAACTGTTATACTATTTTTATATTTAGTTTCATTCTTACTTAACATCTCATTCACTTTAGTATACAGTCCTGTAGTTGATTATAATATATAATCAGTCTTCATATGTATCTAGTTTAATAGACAATAAATTATCACTATAAACACTTTGTGATTTCTTGCAATGTTTTTTTGAACAATATAATAAACTCGCATAATTTTGACTATTTTAAATACTAATATTACTCTGAAGAATGAAAATGAAAAATTGCTCTTATTATATACTCATACACAGTTACCAAGAGTCAAGATAAAATCGCTATTAATCATAACACACAAACAAACAATCATATCAAACTCATTCAAGCTTATCTAAAAATCATTTTTACATTGTAAACTCAAATAAAATATATATATGATCATATGACTAGTGGTAAATTAGAACACGACTGTTATTTACAATGGATTCAAATGATTTTATAGCAATTTAACATTTCTCATTGATTCTTTTGATCTTTAAAAAAGGTTCCAAAGATAATTATAGTGTAATTCGTATATTCTCACTCTAACCCTTTCACACATCTATCAAAGATACATGACCGATGACCTTTTATTATAATACTAAAGGTTACAAGTAATAATTCCATGTAACACACATTTTGTAATTGTATAGAACTGTTGAAAATATTTATTTAAAATTAAACCTTATTAAGAATGATAAAGAAAATTTCTTTTTATAATTAAAAGTATTCAAATAAGAGGAAGATAAATCAATCAAAAAGAAAAATATGAAAACAATTTCATGATCATTGAATTGAATCTAAACATAACTCTGGTATTTTCTATATCAAAACGAATTTATTGAAATAATTTTGTTTGGAAACATTATTTTTTTGTGATTAATCATTGTTTTTTCCATGAAGAGAAAAAGCAAATCTTTTTTCTTATTAATAACATGGTTTGACAGGCAATTATATGAAAATTTGAAGAAAACATGAATAAAAAAATCTAATTGATAATGTTTGTGGAAGAACAAATGTCTAAACAGATTAAGAATAATTAACTTGAATAAGAAGATTGTTTTTCAAATTAATACAATAATATTAATTTTTATTAAATTTTGTATAATCTTTAAAAATAGATTTATCTAACTCATCAAAAACACTTTTTTCCTATTTTTGAAAATAAAAGCCATGATTGATGAGTATAATTTGTACCTTTTCAATCAAATGAAATAGTAAGATCAAGATGTTGAGGGTGTGAGTGTGGATGCGAGTGTCCAAAACGAAAAGATTCACACTCACCCACACCCTACAAGACCTGATAGAATAAGAGGAACTAATAAAAGCCATGATCGCGTACAAAATGGTATTATCAGTCTACGACATAATGAATTTCAAGAATTAAAGACTGAGTAAAATACTGTCGAAACAATCTCTATTTATAACTAAAGTGAAACTCATGTTAAATCGTCTTTATCTCTTACTTGTAACACAAATGATAAATTAGGGAAACGGACTATATTTATCGTTTATGTAAATCAGAAGTGTTCATAAACTTCACACCAATAGATAATAAAAATGGACTAAAATTTTAAAACTCGCAAAGATAATAAAAAAGTTTAGTTGAAGTATTAATATATTGTGGAATATGAAGATGTTCGATCTTGAGACAATCTAATTTATTCTTGGCAATATCATTATAACAATGACCAACATATTTTCGAGCATTTTCTGGTCTATTTGTTCTTATAATTTTTAAATTTGGTAAAAGATTAAATAAATATCGAAAATTTAGATAATTAAATTGTTCACGTTCAATATTTAAATAAATCGTAGTCACATTTAATAGTTGAATTTCATTGTTGTTATGAAAATCATTGTCAAATAATTCGGGAAATCGTACATCATGAATTTGCGTATAATTATCATCGGTTTTCTTTAGTCTGCAATGAAAATAAAGTGTTCGAACGTTCGGAAAACTATTTCGAATAAAACGAAATGTATTAATTGACCACCAAGGTTTTTGTCTTCTTAATAAAACTGTACGAACATGTTCGACAACAGAAGGCCGTGACTTGCTTCCATTGTACAACAAATTCAAGTCGTTTGTCATGATCTCAAACTAAGAGAATAATAAATAACTCATTGAACAACTCAAACGAATACTTACACAACTAAATTTATATGGTAAGTTATAGATTATTCTGTTGTGACAGCAAATTACTTGACCGAATCGTTGCCAATTGCTATTTTGAAATATTTGAGTATCAATGACAAAAATTCCGTCTAAGTACTGTCTATTCCATTTAATGAAAAAGTTAAATGATGATAACAGAGGCATTTTATTAAGTACATCATGTTCCAATTGTGTCAAGAAAGGTTGGTTCTCTAGTATTGTAATATTAATTGTTAAGAATTGAATTGTTGATCCAAAAATAGCAAAAAATGTCTGAAATTCATGTCGATATGATGTTACACCTGTTATTTTAACATTACGAAGCATTGTACAAGATCCTATGTTGTCAATATGAATTTCCTGTTCGTCATATGAACGGGAATTTTCCAAATGCATCTATAAATATAAAATAAAGAAAATTGTTTCTAAGTAGAAAAATCTCTTCAACAACTAACTTTCAATGTTTGTAAATTAGGTAAACGTTGGAGAATAGTAAATATACAATCAATCTTCGAAAGATTAATTGACAGATCTGTTAAATTTTGAAAAATATAATCTTGACCAACAATCGGATAAATTAAAATTTCTTTATCCTCTCCTTTTTTATCACGGAGAAGAACAAGTTTATTCAAATATTGACAGAGTTGAATACAGTTATTTGCTGATACTTTATCATTGATATATGTTGTTATCAAATATATTGTTTGAATATCATCTAATGAAAAATATTTCGAAACAAAATGAATTTGTTTTTCTTTTAAACAAAGACCAAAAATTTTCCGTTGAGTTAATGCTTTTGGAAGATATTTTTGAATCCATTCATCATTTTCATTAGAAATATTAACAAATGAAATAAAATTTTCGAGTAATGGTTGAATTCGACATGGAAAGAAATCAAAGAATAAAGTAAAACGATCTTGAATAGATAAATATTGAAATACACAACGTAATGATATATCTTCTAAATCCAGAAATTGCGTTCTTGTTTTTTTCGACATTATCGACACTTCATAAGACTGTATTTATGAGAAAAAACATGTGATTATATCCGAAGACAAAAAGAAAAATATCCATGTAACTTTCTGAAAGGAAAGAAAAAAATAGTGATGTTTTGTACAATACTGTTTTATCACAAGTAACGTGGCAAAATTGCCGCTGACCCTCTATTGGAAGGATGTGATCAGATTTTTTTTGTAACTTATAAGTTTATTGATCCCAATAGGGTTACCAGTTTACATTTTACATATTAATACACGCAGTAAGATTACATTTTGTTATTCTTTTAAATACGATTAGTCACTCCTTCAAGTTTACATGAATTTTATAGTTGAAAAGAAAGAAAGAAGAGAATTGACGTAGGAAGAAAGAGAAAAGAAAGAATTATAGTGTTTAACAAGCCTAATGTGTTTTATTATTTAAACATTTGTATTTGACAGAAGGATAAATACAGATAACAATAAAGACAAACATAGAAAGAAAAGGATGTTTTAAAAAGTAAAATGTTAATTTGTATTCGTATTCACATATTTTAATAGAAAAACATTTAAATCATAAGATGTCTTTTTGAAATATTCTTTTTGCGGTTCATACATGCATCAAAAACGAAAAAACATCTAAATTCGTATCGTGTGCCCTTTGTATGTATCTATCTATGAAGAAGAACTCATCACTACTTATTTCCAAAGATTTATAGATCCTTCTATTCGGTTCTGTAGCTGCAAGATACGCTTCTCAAGTTTCACTACAAGCATTTGCTTCTTGAGAATTGTTAAGATCTTTCATGAATTTTATCCGATAGTTATACACGTAGTCTAGAAGTGTTTTATCTCTTGCTAAAACCAAAGTCGTATGATCGTTCCATCCCTACAAGTTATTTATTAGCCGTATTTCTGTGCAATAGACATGTTCAACTTCTTCTTGTTGTTTTCCCGTAAAAAAACCAGCAAACAAACAGCCATATAAAATGTGGCAATGCAAACGCACAGAACAATTTCCTTCTAATATCAACTTTTTTCAATTTGTTTTGTTTTATACATTTCTTATTTTCAATAGTCTTGTTTTTAAAGCTATTACCAATAATAACAGAGTGAGAATAGAAAAGTAAAAAGAAAAAATATATAAAATAGTAACAAAAAATGAATAGTTTTAAAAAATAAAGATACAGTGGCAGACATAAAAGAAAGAAAAGAAAAATTAATACTAACAACCACTAACGAAAAACAAGTGTACACTTATAATTTCATTTCTTTCTTTTCTTTCCCTTTTCATCAAAATTCTATGTAAAACTTTCTTTTCTCCTTCCCCAAAAAAATTTATATAAAATTCTCACTTTAGTCTTCTGAAATCATTGTAATATATTAGTAATAATCCTCATACTATGCATTGCATACTATATTACAATAGATCTATATGTTTTACTTTATTTATTTTTCTCTCTTTTTTTTCCATCGAATATTAATTTACAAGTAACGCTTCTCCGAAGACTTGCTTAGCTCTTTCTTGTAGAAATGCATTTTCTTCATATTTACCGGAAAAATAAATGAAAACCGTGAAAAATTGATTTTCGATTTTTTTGACCTTTGACCCCTTTTCACTGCCCCCCTTCACACGGTCACGCAGTAGTCCTCAGATTCGAACAGTCTACATCGAAAAACCTATAGAAACGTTTTTCTCGTAAAATCAGTTTTTGATGTTTTTTTGACCCCACGGACACACAAGCAATCAAACAAACAATTGATGTTTACTGGACTCTTCTGTACGAGAAAGAGAATATAGCTCTTTGTTTTCCTTTTTTTGGAAAAAGTCTAGGATGTGATTTTTCTATGACATTATAGCCCCAAAGACTTTGTAAAAAACATGAAACTGTTGTAAAATCTTTTTCGTTTCTTTTTCCCATATATGTTTTTTATCTCTGTAGATGAAGCTCTATCTACTTTTTCTCTTTTTCAAAAAACACTTTTCACACATTAAACCGCATTAAAAATACATTAAAATATATTAAACGACATTACAAGAACATTGAAATACAACACAGTATTGAAATGCATTAAATTACACTAACATTCCACCAAAATATAACAAAGCACATTAACCTGCATGAAAATATATATATTGGAACGCATGAAAATCGCTTGAAAAGATAAACAATTCGAAAGGCCTCGCGTTAATAAATAGCTATCTCCATATTTTTTCATCTCCTGAATTATTTTTTGAAATTACTTATTTATTTATTTTTTCTTCTTGTGTTCTGTTAATAAGTTACTTTTTCTTTTTGTCTCAAAAAATAAAATTAAAAAAATTATTCTTGTTGCCATGACCTTCTTCGTTCATTTGTAAAAATGCTATTTTCACTGTCGTTTTCATTACAAAATGTATTCATACATTATGAACTAATGCATCGACTAATTCTTAATTGATATCTTCAATACGTTCTCTGTCTGTCATTCATTTAAAATTACTTTCACTTCCTCATTTTTTCTGTATATCATTTTTCTAACTTGGAAGCGAGACGCGCAAAATGAATGTGTCTGGAAATACAAATGTTACTAAACAAGATAGTACGGAGAGCCCATTTCAATTTATTTCCAGAGATATATCATTCATACTATTAATAACCTTCGATATTCCATCTATTCTCATGCATCTTATCGTATTTATTCTTATTTTTTTCAATAAAGCTCTTCGTTCGGCACCAAATAATTATGTTATTTTATTTACATTATGTCATTCCTTTATCATCACCGCTTTTATGATTCCAACAGTAATAGATTCACACAGATTAAAACCAACTATTCATTGGACTCTTGCATCGTGTAAAATTAGATCATTTATTGAGACTTTATCTTCTAATATGATGAATCTTTTAGTTGCATGGGCATCATTTGAACGACATCTTCTCATTTTTCATTTTAATCTATTAACTATAAAATGGAAAAAGCTTTGTTTCCATTATATGCCTCCGATTCTTATCACCATTTATCTTTCGATATTTTATATTTATTCCAGCTTTTTCTTTCCATGTGAACATCAAGTGGATTTTGTCAATAACATATGTTATTATGGTTGTCAATCAAGGGATCCAGTATTGGGTATGTGGCAAACAAGTATTCATATCTTATCTCCAACGATATGTGTATTGATATGTAATGGTGCCCTTTTATTTCGAGTTTATCGATCAAAAGCTCGTCTTCGTCGATCAATAGATTGGGGAAAATATCGATTAATGATCTTTCAACTTGTTTCTATCTCATGTCTCTATCTTTTATTTAATTTACCATTTGCGATTGTCTATCTTTGGGTTATAGTAGCTCCGGCACCTTCCATAATCACGTTATTGCAACGGGTTGGTTTTCTCACATATTTTATTTGGTTATTATTTCCTTTTGTGTGTTTATGTTCAATACCACAATTGGAATCGAAAATGAAGAAAATTCTACATTGTCAAATAGTACCTGTTAGTAGGGAAATGCAACCAAGAGCGATTCGCCTTGTGAAGATTCAAGCGCAGTAAAAAGCACTTGTGTAGAAAAACAAAATTAAATAACATTTTGTCATTTTTTTCAATGTATTTATATATTTTTATGTAAATTCTAGTGTAGACGTATAAACTTAACTCTCAGCTAGAAAGTATACAAATCAATTTTCTAATTGCGACGAAAATGGAAGAGATTAAGGAATAGTGTATCGTTATTGCTAATGTATTTTATTTCTTATCGTTTTTTCATCTTATATTCAAAATATAACCTATAGATGAAAACAAGAAGGAGGATCAAATCATTTGAATTATTTCAATGGTATCACTTTTGATATATTTGAATACGTACTTTAATTCCTATTGTGATTCAGGCAAACTAAATTATTCATTTTTATAATACCAGCTTGAAATAGAGACGAACATATGTAGAAAATAATTCTACATTTTATCATTGATCAACAAAACTAGGAAAAAATATTTCTTTTCATTTCAATTTAAAACATTCTCGATAAAGGATTTTTATAGTCATATTCATTTTTTTCATCCTATTACTAATGAAAATCTATGAAAGATTATTGATAATGGAATAAAATGCGATGTTTATTAGATAAAACGAATGTATTTAATTGAGTTGTTTATATATGTATATACCAAAAATATAAAGTCCAAATACAATAGTAAAAATAAATAATAGAATTTTCATCCATAAACCATTAATTATATTTGTTGTTTTATGACAAATTAATTCATCTATTTTATAAATATCATTGATTGGTAATGGACAAGAATCAATTGTTGATTCAAGTATTCGTTGAAGTAATAATTTAAACTAAAGAAAATAAAAAAAAATATTAATTTTCAATAAAATAAAATATTCGTTACTTGATTTATTATTTTTGTCATAAAATTATTTGATAATTTTGAATTTTGTTGAATAATTTGTGTAAATTTTTGATTAATTTTATTAAAATTATTTTCAATTCGAACTAAACGATCATGAAGAGTTGTTAAACCAGTTAAATTAACAAAATTATTAAATAAATGAAATTCTGATGAAATATTTTTTATTGGAATTGATGATTGAAATTGATTATAAATATTTGTATTTAATTGTTCAATTATTTTTATTAATTCATCATCTAATTTTAAAGAAAATTTTTCCAAAAATTTTTTACTAAAATGAATATTATTTGAACAATCATTTATTAAATTGTTCAATGTTGCATTTACATCAAAATCATCGATCGATTTTATAAAATTATCTAATAAAAAACAAAATTAGTTTTTCTTTTTTTAATTTAAAAAAATGTTTAACCTGTAACATATGAAATTAAAAATGGTTGATCATAATGAATTACTTGACAAGAACTCTGTAAAATCATATCAATTCCATATAGAAGACTAGTTATTAATGATAGAATTATTAAAAAAATGACTAATAAACCAAAATTAATACGTATTAAACAAAGAAATAAATTATGATTATGAACAGTTCTTGATTGATTATTATTAATAAGTGAAGAACTTCTTTCACCATTTCTATTTCTATGATAATTCTTTTCTTTTCTTGATTTTGATTTCTTTGATGATGTCTTATGATTTGATCTTAAAATAAATATTCAAAACGAGTTTTTATTTAACATGTTGAATGTATTATTAAATAAATCACATTCTTTCATTTCTAAGATTTTCCGTTGTAAATTACTCAAATCGTAAATCAGTTCGATATCCATAAATATTTCACTGTATTCTAATGAGCTATGAGACAGTTATAGGATACCTAGTACTTTTCACTTTAAACTCTTTGGTACTCAGTACACTTGTCGGATTAGAAATGCATATACTTCTTACATTACAAATGTACTTTGTATTTTTTACTTAAGTAATCCTTTCACTTAGTATCTGTACTAATTTGGATATTAAATGCATAAGATTTTTACGAATTAAATAATGCGTGAAATATAACAGTGGACAACGAAATATTATTTGTTTTAAACTTAAACACAGTAAAATTACTGTAGTTATTTAAATGTAAAATTAGATAAAAAGTAGAGTTTTCGACTCATTCAGGATTCATCGATATTTATAGTTATTTTCATCAATTCATAGTTACATAGATTATACTTACAAGTTATTATTATTAATCAACATCACTTCCTGGTACATTATTACTTGTCGACAAATTCTGGATGAGTCGACACCTAGTTTTTTATTTAATTTTACTTCTAAACAACTTATTTAGCTGCATATATTATTAAACCACAAAAATATTCGATCGTAATACGAGAAATATGAATGAAAACTAGATATGTAGATGTATGTAGCGTACTGATTCTGATTCAGTCTCTGGCATAAGATGTGACTATTGAATTTAAACTGCTGAATTAAGATTAGAATTTGTAAAAAAAAATATTTTCATCATAGTTTATCAGTATAGAAACAAAAACACTTAAATGTCATTTGATCTAATATATATATATAATTGTATTATTAAACTGATTGAAATCCATCGTATAAATTAGTTTACCTTGAAGGATGTGTTGTAGATGGTTGTTGATTATAACTATGAATATGAGATGATTGTAATTGTTGAACATCAAGAGATTGAAATTGATTTTGTAATCGATTATTATTTCTAATTCTATTAAAAAAAGATATATTTTTTTTGAAAAGTAAATATATTTACCGATGATTTTTATAAAAAAAAATATATTTTGAAATAATAATAATTAAAAAAGTGAATGGAAGAATAATTAATATTGAAATAATAATAAAAATGAAATTGGTAATGAATGAAATAATTGAATGAATTTTGTCTTCTTGTTTATTATTAAATAATTTTAAATTTATTTTGTTCAAAATTTGTCCATTTAATATTTCAATAAAAAATTTCATTTGTTCTTCAATTAAATTTTTTAAAAAAAAGATTTTTTTTTCAATTTCATTATTATCATTTTTATTAATATAATCACAAATTCTTTTATTTAAATTTAATAAATTTGTATAAGAATTTGTAAATTGTCGAAAAATTTTTGTTAAAATTTCATTATTAACAATTAAAGAATTGAAATAATCTAAATGTTCATTTATATTATTAATAATTTGATTTAATTCTTTAATATCATAATAATCAGAAAATGATTTTATCATTATTGATTTTGAACCATTAACAATTATTGAAGTTGCTAAAAAAAGTCAATTGATTGAAATTATAAAATAAAAAAAGAAAAGAAGATTTTGTTTTTACATTTTGAAGAAAATTGTTGAAATTGTTTTAATAAATATTGTGAAATAGTTTCGGAATTCATTTGAGAATTTATTTGTTTTATTGATTTATTTAAGTAAAGTTTTGTGTTATTTATATTTATAATAATATAGATCATTTGAATTAATATAAATAAATAAATTAGATTTAACAAAATAATAGAAACTAATTTTAAAAATGAATTTTTTGATAATTTTCTTTTATTAAAATTTAAAGATGATATTATATAGAAAATAATTGTTGATATTATTAACAAAATAAGTATTATACTCGAATAAATAATCAAAGATGAAAGCATTTTTGATGGAAATTTCAAAGAATTCTTTTGAGAATTTTTAATATATAATTGAAGATCATCAGATGAAAATGATGAATGAATTATTAATGAAGAAAATTTTGATAAAATATTATCACCATTTGGTTTATAAATTGGATGAATTATATTATTGGATTTATTGGTAATCAATGGAATATCATTATAAATATTTAAACAATTCAAATCGAAAGACATGTTTTTATCTAAAATAATATTACATTTTACAAATAGAATAAATGTATCTTTATTTTCTTCAAATAATTCTTCACAAGTAATCGTTAAAAACAATTGAATAATCAACTAGAAAATTTGTTTATCAAATGAAACAACCTATCGATAGACTATGTTAACTTTATACATAGATATATAGATAGATAGATATAATGTAACGAAAAAGTTCATAGAGATTAACCGTTAGTAAATATCAAAAAAAAAAAAGAAAGAAAAAAATTTGTTTTTCTTCTAAAATAAAAGTTAATTCAATAAAATATTTTCTTAAGATTATTAATAAACTAACAAAATAAATCACATAAAGTTAATATTTAGATTTCCTTCGCCTTTTTTTTTTGTCTTCATGTTTTCTAAGCAGAAATCGAAAAAGGAAATATAAAACATGTCCAAATGTAGAAAATGTTACTGTAGATATTTGCATAAGAATAGATGAGTTTAACTAGTGATGTTTATTATCATTATGACGATGATGATGTGTAGGAAAAATATTATGTGATATTGTTATCGTTTCTCTTCTTTCATAAAACAAGAATCATCCCTTTCTTCACAATATTCACTCGTTAAATACTCAAAGATATCAGTAGTACGTGAGGAAATAAAAAGAGAATCAGCTTTGTTTATGGTATGTGATATATCATGCCATAACAGATATAATATGATTAGATTTTTTCTTTTAAGCTACTTGAAGAAAATAAAATTAAAGTAATCCTCTACTTGTTCAATGATAAACAAACAAATGTGAATTAAAGTGATATTTAAAAATGGAAACGATTTAATGCCTCAAGCATTTATTTCTTTTATAAATTGTGTCGCTAAAATGAAGTTATTAAAATAAAAAAAAGTTTCAATGGTAAAACAAAAAGAAAAGTAAGATTTAATTCATTGATCTCTCTCTTTGAATCTGAATGGATGATTAGTTTATTGTTGTTTTCAATCTATTGTTTTTCTCTCTCCCTTCTCTTTGAAAAGATCATTGATGTTGATGATGATGATGGTGTGCAAACAAAAGATGAATTAAAGATGTGTGTGTCGAAAGCTCATTAGTTGTGAATGGTTGAGCGTTAACCGTATTGATCAAAGAATTGTCTAGAAGATTAACCACTTGAGAATAGTTCGTCAACCGACAATGTTTGTTAAATTCAACATGATAAATGATATTTTATATACCCCTTATGTTACCACACCCACCTTTTCTTTTTCTCTCTCTCCATATTTTCATTTCAGTTTTAATTATCAAGGAAAAGTATTTCACAAATTGAATCTACCTGCAGTTTAATTTGACATTTTACGTAACAAATCTAATGATTATCAACATTATTTTCTCTTTTATAATTAGTCTAATCTTTTCTCACATTTCTATTTAACAAATTCTTTCTTGCTCTTACATCACATTGATTTCGTTATACTTTAAATAGTTGATCTAATGGGATGAATTCGAGATTTTCCAATGAATTATTTTCATATTCATTGAAATTGATATGAAAAAGAGAATTGTATGTTAAATAATTGAGATAATTGTCAATTTTAAAGTTCTCAAATAAAATCTTTATCTATGATGAGCACGAGAATGTAATTATGTTGATTTATTCATTTAAACAAAAGTTAATGTGAACAAATGACAATGATTATATTGACATATGAGAATGTCATCTCTAACTTAGATAAGAAAATATTTTATTTCAATTGGTTTGTTTTCATTTTCCACATATTTTTCTTTCCAATGAAAAAATTTTCCGAAGGAAAGAAAAAGAAAAGGAAGAAGAGAAAAAAAGGAAGGTGTATATGTTTCATTTGATATTATTGCAAGAACGGATAAGATGATGAATGAAATGTGGACACATTTACCAATTGATCGTGCAAGTACACCGATTGAAAAACGTTCATTTCAACCTCAACCACGAACATCAACACCAAAATTATCCAAAATTAGTTATTCAATTCAACAACGTTTAATAAAAAAAAA